TCCCTATAACAACCATCACCGCTCCCTCTCCCCCTCCCCCACCACTTCTATACTTCACCCATAAGAGTATTCTCCTATATATTCGAGTACCCGTATCGAACGATGATGACCATTTTTTTGCCTCCCCTTGCGATTCTTTTTATTATTATTTTTTTTTTTAATTCTTTTTTAAATTCTCTCTTTTCGTCTTTTCAAAGATCTCATATGAAAAAAAAAAAAAACAAAACAAAAAAAAATAAGAAAATTTACTCCGACAAAGAGGAGACTCCCCCCCTGTTTGTGTGTGTGTGTGTGTGTGTGTGAGATCGTTCATCGAGGACATTCGAAAACCTTTCGCCAAGATTCTAACGTTCAAAGTTTACGAAGATAACGTCGAAGGAAGGCGGAGTCGAACAAATCGAACGCCCATTATACGATTTCCTCGTACCTCGATTCTCAGCCAACAACAATCGATTTTACTATCATCGATAGGTAATAACGAGGCTTGCTGACAATGAATATGGGATTTTAAAATCATCGTGAGATTTACATCGAAATATATACAACAGTGGAATCTCGTGATTTGCGAACAAATATATATTTTCATTCGTAAAAAAAAATGTGCTCGTAATTCACAGCACACATCACCACCATACTGATATAATCAAAGCAAATTTCGTCATTAGAAATAGATAATGTGACAAATTGGATAGATAAAACGTTTCGCAATTAGATTTTTATTCATATATGAATATAATATAAAAAAAAATATTAATAATAAGTAAAAAGTGATGAAACAAGTTTTAATCCGTACTTTACTTACTAATACAAATAACACTTGTTGTCTGTCGTACTCTACACGTATTGCAAGAGACATCGTGGTCTTTATTATCAAATCAACATTTTGTTGTTGTTTTTTTTTCTTCATCTCGTTTTGTCGAATACTCGCAATCCAAGGTTTCATTTGATATCCTTAATAATAAATTCCAACGAATATAATCTCGGATGTATTTTTGTCGTTTTTATCGTTCGATTGAAAATGATTTACTTTTTTTATTTTGTTTGTTTTTTTTTTCTTCTTGACTTGATTTAAAAAAGAAAATCACTAAAGGTGATTTTCACACAACGATAATCGTAAAAATGAATTTGATTATAAAGTTTATGTCATTGGCGCACCCAAATGCGCTAATATAGCGTTCTTGAGAAAAGACAATGCTATGATAATTTATTCAACGTCTATAAACTTTTAACAACTGGACCGCGTGTAATCCATCATGCTTCGTCAAATTGGTACAAGCACCTAGCACGATGATAATCCTTCTTACCTTTCCTCGCATGTTTTTTTTTTTTTTATCATCTATTTTCTTCTTCAATGAATTATGTTCTTTCTTTATTTATTTATTTATTTTTTCCTCTTTCTTGTTCTTTGCTGTTTTCCGTCTCGTCGGTAAATCGCGATCAGCACGAGAAATTCATTTTTATTCGTACGCTTTAGATATAATCGCGATCCAACAATTTCTCTGAACAATTTCATCGTACACGAATAAAATTAAATTAAAAAAAAAAAAAAAAGAAATAAATAAAACGTATTATATAATTTACAATTAATCTTATCAATTCTGTTTAAGAATAAATTATCCTAAATATATATATATTATTTAATAACAAAATTATAACGATTCTATTTTCCTTTCTCTTCATTCTCATAACCATTACGTAGTGTACCGATTAAATCTTTATCAAAAAAAATAGAAAAAAAAATAGAAAAAAAATTTCTAATGGCCACCATACTCCTTTCGTTTCCTTTTTTCTCTCTCCTTTGTCGAAAGAATAACATATAAAAAAAATAGGAAAAATGTAAAAAAAAAATATATTCTAGGGTGGACTAACAAGAACTAGCAAGAAACCAAGCAAGCAAACAGGAACAGGCGTTGGTATAGTAGAAACAGTGTGTGTATTTCCTTCGAGGTCCCGCCATCTTGCCGGCGACTTTTTAGATCTCCATTTTCTCTCGATAAATCTGAGTAGAGAAACAGGGACTACGGGACGGGCAAAGAAATCGAGTGGCTTTTGTGTATATCAGTCGCCCCGGCTCATTAATCACACGCGCCGTACGTCGAATAGGCTCGAGTCGATCGACGACGAGATAGCCGCGTAATGAGCTTCGTTGCTCTCTCTCTCTCTCTTTCTTTCTTTCTTTCTTTCTTTATTTATTTCGATCTCCTTCGATCCTTTTCCTCTGTTCGACCAATAGAAAGAACTTATTATATTGCTCGAATCGAATCGCGGAGCAGCTTCATCGAACTCCTTGCACACGGTCCAACAGTTCTCTTTCTTTCTTTCTTTCTTTCTTCTTATATTCTTATCATTATTATTATTATTATTATTATTATTTTATAATTGTGATTATTATTATTATTATTATTATTATTATTATTCGAAAAACTTTAACTGACTGCTTCGATTACCATACATACTATTTATAACATACCGTACCACTAGGCTTTAGCATTTAATTTCCGTAAACGTTAACGCGATTACACGGATACGGTATATACTATGTTGAATATTATATATATATATAGATAGATAGATAGATGGATTGATAAAATCAACGACAAAGAATTCAACGACGTTAATTATGCAATTATCGTCGATAAAACGGGACCCCTATGCAAGAGGCTAATTATTTGCCGCTGTTGGCTAAAATTGTCGTTCTATTGGAATTTTAGTTAGTTATCGGAACACTGTAAGAATAAAAATTAACAAAAAAAAAAAAATTTGTATAGACAAGAAGACGAATGATACAATGATCTTTGATAATAATTTGTTGAATTTATAACATACGTATTGTTTTTTATTTGAAGTCAGAAAAATCTGTAATATAAAAAGAAATTATGATACTAAACGATAATTATATTATAAACTTTTGTAGTACGTTGAAATGTGAGGAAAAATTAATTAAAAAAAAAAAAAATTTATATATATAGAAAGAAATATGGTCATTAAGATAATTACATTAATATTTGCTTTAAATTGGAATACAAGTGAAAAGTAAAATTCATAAAAAAATTTATACGAAGAAACGAGAGAAAGATTGAAACAAACAAGCAAATAAAATAAAAGAAATTATTAAAAAAAAAAAGAGAAGAAAGAAAGAAAGAGAGAGAGACGAAGAGGATCCCCTCGTAAATTGCCTCGACGTTTGAGTCTTCTAAAGGAGAAGGGAAGAGAGTGGGTTCACGGTGAAACGAGCACGCTCGCTTCAACGCAAAGTAATTAAATGCAAAGGCAAAGGAGGAGAAGTGTGTGGAAGGGAGTTGAAGAAGGGCCTAGCCAACTCGAGACTCGAGAACGAAGAGAGACATAAGAAGGAACAGGGAAGAAGAAGAGAAGAAGAAGTAGAAGAAGAAGAAGAAGAAGAAGAAGAAGAAGAAGAAGAAGTGAAGGAGGAGGGGAGAAAGGTAGCGAGGGCGTTCCTGATGCCACTCCCCGACTTCTTGGACTCCTCCGGAACTGGTACCTGCCTGGCAAAGCCCGTCGTTATCCTACCTGAATAAAGTGCAGTCCCTTCGATCCAAGTACCAACTCTCTCACACTCACACACACACACACACACACACATATACAGTGTGTGCTTCTCATACTTTCTTACTTTCTCATACTTTCTTACTTTCTCATACTCATACTTCCTTCTGATACTTTCTTACTTTATTTATTTTTCTTTTTCATATATGTGTTACGTGTCCGAGTTGCGACAACGTCCATTCGTATTTTCTCAGTCGAATTTACAAAAAAACACGTGTGTCAACATAGATATTTTTCCCTCCAAATTTCTTACCTTCGTACAATGCACTCTTCGTAATTGCAATGCCAGGTAATATCAAGAAGTATAGGTGACTTTTGGAAAGTCGCGTTATATATATATATATATACGATTAAATTAAATCATTTCAATAAAATCGAATTTTGTTTGAAATCTGTTTAAAACGTTTGATCAAATGTTGTTTACGTCTCGAACGAAATTAATAATAAATTAATGCGAATCTAACATTTAAATTCTAGTAGAATTACGACAGACAACGTGGGGGAAACAAAAAATATATATATATAAATAAATAACTATACGCATTCCCTCGTTGATACGTAACTAAAGTTCGTATTATTTCTTAGGTGAAATGTTTGTCAAATTGATTGACACGTTCCGCGCTTTTATCAAATGTCAAAGTTTCTTTCTCTTTCTCTTAGGTTCGATCAAAAGTTTTTCGACATTCACAAGATAACATTGGTCGGTCGCGTTTATGGTAATTATAAGCGCGAAAGGTGCCGCCAGGTGCTCACTCATACGACTCGATGCTAAAATTGGTTCTTACAAATTGCCGCGTTAATTCGACACGGTCCGAGAATAAGCAGCCAACGAAGGACCAGCTTGTATTCAGCTGTTCGCTCGATGCACAAAGAAATCCAATGGGAGCGTGTACGGCGTTCCTGCACGTTTGATCGACTTCTTTAATTGGGAACTCTCGAGAAAGATAAATCGTTAAGTCGAAGTACAATTTTTTCCTTACGTCGAAAAATTGCTAACGTAAAGTAAGTGAGCAAGTAAGTAAGTAACATAAGTAAGTAAGTAAGTAAGTATATATATGACGTTATGAGTTATCAATCATTGCCAAAGATTAGCAAATCATTCTAAGAAGGGGTTGAATATTTTTTCAGTTAATTTTTTATCAAATATATATGTATATAAGTTTTTATTTAATAGAAACCTATCCGATTTCACTAAATAATTGTAAGTTATATATAAACTAATATATAACTTATTTTATGTATAAAGAAATCATTCCAAGAGAGGGTTGAATAATATTTCAGTCAATTTTCTACATGTGCACAGATTGTTTAAGAGTGAAACGAGAAATTGAATAAAATCAAATTTAACGTTGATTGATTATAAAAAATAGATTATAAAAACAAGAAGAATATTAAACGACATTAAAATAAAGAAAAATCGAATGTCGACTCACCAGTTTCGAGATCCACGGTGTAATTGCGTCCAGCCCAAGGATCATCATCCTGTTGATGCTTTACCTCAACCCCCTCGGCATCTTCCTATAAATAATGTAGCTTCTAATGAAAAATTATATAGTCCTGGTATGCAGTAATAATTCTTAAAGGGTTCAAAAATGAAGAGGATAAAAAAATGGGGATTATCGCATTAAGCTCGGACATTGGTTCGAACACGGTTAGCAAGCAACCTAGCTAGCTAACTATACCTATAGGTGTATCCTTATTAAACGTATATCTATATACCTACATACCACATACATGCTGTACGAACTCGTTAAATTATCTGGAAAATGAGGATAGAAGGAAGAGAACCGGTATAAACGATTAGCGTGGAATAATTAATCTACATTTTTCTCTTTTTTTCTCATTCTATATCGGCCATCAAGGTGAACAAGCGATTAACAATTTACGAGCTTATAGCAACGAGATAGTTGATATTTTATTTATTTTATTATCGAAATAAGATATCTCAAGTAAATTTTAAAGAATTAAGAGAAGAAGAAAGAACAAAAGACAAGAGTGAAAGAGTGACAGAGAATTATCATTGATCTATATGATCGTGATGTGGTAGTCCTGCAACCATAAACGACAATAACGACGATTAGAAGAACGTGCCCGTTAAAAAGAAAGATAGAGATAGAAAAAGATAGAAAGAGAGAGAGAGAGAGAGAGAGAGAGAGAGAGAGAAAAGAACGAGAAAATATACGAAAGATAGAAAGAGAGGTAGTATTCAAGGACGATTTTCATATAGACGTCATAATCAAGTCCCAAGCGTGCAGAGGCAACTGTCGAGAAAGGAGCTAAGGGCGCGCGTATGCCCCGAACCAAAGGTCGATCATGGCGGCGCTATATACGAGAGCTGCACTGAAATGAGTTTAATGAAAACAGCATTATACTCCGATCATTAATCATAGAGAGCCTCTGATAGTGGCCATCCAACCACGCGCGTTCTTTCTCTCTTTCTCTTTTCTTTCTTCACCTTTCTTCTTCCTTTTTTCCTCTCTTTCTATCTTTCTTCATATATATATATATATATAAGCCCATCCCTCCCCTCTACCCCCTCCCCCTTCCCCACCCCACTCCATGGTTGTTCCATCTCATTCTCTTCTTTTTTCAAGCCGGCCCTCCCTCCCCTATCCCTCCTCTCTCGTTTTTCGTCTCTTTTTCACTCCGCGTGATGTATCGTCCGTTGAGTGCCGCGTTATTTCGGCCTCAGTGTTATGAATACAAAGTTCGATCCTCGAACACGACGTTCCCCCTTTCCTTTTTACACCCTTCCCCACTCCCTTCTCCTACTACTCCTTCTTCTTCTCTTTCTCTTTCTCCTCCTCATCTCATCCCTCTTATATTCACCCTCATTCTCGACTTTTCACGAAGCCAATCGAACGTTTGGAATTTATTCTCGAGACTCGAGTTTAAGATTGTATGTTTTTTTTTTTATTATTATTATTATTATTTCGTTTATATATATAGAAGATATTGCGTTTCTATACGTGGGAACAGATATAATAACAAAACAAAAAAAAACAAAAATAAATAAATAAAATGAAAAATGATCGTGATTCCGATTGATGATTTTCGAGGTGACATATTAATAAAATATTTCTTTTTTTCCCTTTTCGTGATTAATAAAAATTTTTTTTTCTTTTCTAAAGCAAACGACAATGGGGGTTGGGGGAACAAAATGAACTATAAAAAGAGAGAGAGAGAGAGAGAGAGAGAGAGAGAGGAGAAATAAATAAGGCAACGCGGTTCGATAACTCGTGATGACTTTTCACGGTCATCGGTTCGAACTCGCAGCATCATCTTTTTCCAAGAGATACCTCGCGTCGTCTTTCGTTGGACGCGACAATGGAGGTCCTGTCATCGGTGCAGAGGAGGGCCAGCAGTATACTTCGCTGGCATAGCTCTCAATTAAGAAACTGTTACGAGTCCACTGGCAACATACAATCGTTTTACTCGTTTCTTAGTTATAGTCGTTGTTGTCAGTCGTTTTAGTCGAATCAGATCGAGATTTACGTGTGTTTCTCTCTGTGTGTGTGTGTGTATTTAGTGTATCAAACTCACCTCGATTTCTTCGAATAAATATAAAATCAATGTTCGGTATGGACATCGAATTGCAATGGTGTATTGAAACCTACCCACAACGATGATGATGGTGACGATGACGACCACAACGACAACGACGATTACAACGACGATGATCAAAGCGAGTCATCGTTCCGTGAAGCATTTGTATCTCGATACAAGCCCATAAACCATATACAAGCGATACACCAACCGATACTCCCATCATCCTTGTTATTGGCACCTTAATATCAATTCACCGACAAAGAAGACTTTATCTATACTACTAGTCAATTCGTTATTATTAACATCTATCTATGCGTATAATTTATTCATTTACATATTAAATCTATATCATTACAAAATTAAATTTATCCCATTTATTTATATGACATATTTTATTAATAGAAAATTCGTGTAATATAGAATATTTCGTCAGTTTTGATCTATACACAAGATCAAATTAATCCAAATGAAATCCTACGGTGATACGCCATTTTGTTCGGATATATATATTTCAGCCAGTGGAAACAATCGAGCAAGAACAGGACAAAAGATAGATAGAGGTTGAGGGTAGAAAAGGGCAAGGGGAGGGGGTAGAAAAAAGAGAGAAAGGAAGAGAGGCCAACCCACTTTGGTTTGCCAGACGCGTTTTCAATTTCCAGGACCATTAATACGACCCTTCGAATTCCCCCCCACTAGGATGCTCCAATCTCTTGGAGCCGTTGCGTATTTCTTTCTCCCTCTCTCTCTCGCACATCAGTTAAATCCCTGGCAGGACCAACCAGGGTTTCCCGTTCTACCACCACATCAGTTGCTGCTCTCGAAACGATCGAGGGGTGCTCCCTCTTGCTTCATGTCGAGGGATGCTGTACATCTATCATCTTGCTTGAACCCCGTCGATGCATCGTGCGAACAAATGAACGCTAGCCATTTTGATGGTTTTATGAATACATTTTAGGAGGGTTGCCCCTATATAGATAGATTGGGGTTATGCTTAGGTACGGGTAGAAAAGTGGAATGGGGATGGAAGTAAAGCGTTGTTTTCGAGATCCCCACTTCTCCTTCCTTCCTTCCTTCCTTCCTTCCTTTTTCTTTACCCCACCTTCACCCTCCTCCACCCACCTCCACTCCCCTTTTCTTGATCAAACTTCCTTTTCCTGGCTACTAGAAGTTCGTGTCTCCTTATCTTACTCTTTCTTTAGTTCTTTCATTTATTTTTGTTTGGGTTTGGAAAAAGATAGAAAGAAAGGGCTAGGGAGGAAGGGGGAAAAGAGAGAGAGAGAGAGAGAGAGAGAGAGAGATCGATACTAGGTCCATTTCGTAACGGAGCCGCTCTAATGGAGCCTGTCGCCGAGACGAATAAGAATCATTTAGATCTTACAACAACTTGTGAATTAAAAATTCGTCCGAGTCACTTTGAAAACCCTATGGATTTTATTTTGACGATAAAACGGGTATTACTTGTCGAGTACTTTTTAACGATGGAAAGGAAAACCATTTCTTTGTCAAAACATACTCTCAACTCGTACTCATCATTAGTTCTTCTACTTGGTACAAATCAACAGGGATGGTAAGTATAAATGATCGATACAAATTTCTTTACTTTTACCGATATGTGTATATGTGTAAGTTATCGTTAAAAGCACAAAAAAAAAAGGAAAAAATTTCTTATGTGAATTCTATGAGATTGCTGATAAATAAATTGTTTTTGAAATTATCTACATTTTATTTGGTAATAAATCTTGTATTAATTTCAATGAATTTTTGTTATTCTTTGAAGATCTTTGTTAAAAGTGTGGATATGAATACATGCATGTATCGATACTTTTAAAAGTTAAAACTTTAGATTTAAATAATATATTATTATAAAATGTATACACATAGTGTACTGTTATAATTATCGGCATATATTTGTTGACTCATGTAAAATATATAATGTTATATTAATACAAATGATTGATCAAGTTTTTTAAATCTTACGAAAATGTTTAAGTTGAATCGTTAAATTAATGATATATTTTTTTTTAAATATAAATCTCCTATAATATAGTCGACATCATTAGAAAAGATTATATAAATTTTAATTCGAAATTATGCGAAACAGGTTTGTCTTTGTTTATAGTTAACGTGAAACTGATTTGTTAATATCGCATTAAAATATAAATATAAAATGTTTGATTTTCACGAATTTTTGTTATTCTTCGAAGACCTTCCCTTATATAGGGACATACATCCAGTAAGTAATTTATAAAGTGTGAGTAAATTTTAGATTATTATATATATATATAATTTTGTTTTAGATAATGTATCCCTACAATAACAGAATATATACTTTTCTAACTTGTGTAAGATATAAATATGTTTAGTAAGAAGAAAACAATATTTGACATATTGTTTGTATGCAAAATTGTTAATGATTTAATTAATTTACTAAATAACACCAATCACTACTACTCTTTCAATATCCATCGAAAAATCTTCGAAACCATGATTCACCATATATCAAAATGCATCAAATCTCGTATAACTATTTTAACTGCATTAATAGAATATTTTTAAATGTAAATTCTCATCATCAATATATTGATATAATTAATCTTAATAATTTATAATAATATTAATTTCATATTCTTTCCCAACTTCGTTAACCTATCACTATATTAACAAATTGATTTATTCCTCAAAATAAATAAATAAATAAATAATTCTATATCAATTGCTTCCCCTTTAACTTAACTTCCCACATACCTAACAAACATATCTATTATTTAAATAATATAATAATCAACAAATTTCCTAATAACTTTAGAAGAGACATCATCTTTTAAAAGATACATTTCCATGCAATATAGTTAAAACAATCTCGAAAGTGTCTGACAATACCTGTCGACGAACTATACTATATATATATATATATAACCAAAGAAAGGAGTATAAGCTTGTGAGATAAAGAAAGAAAAAATGAATGAAAGAAAGAAAGAAAGAAATAAAGAAAGGAAGAAAGATGATTCTTCTTCTTTGTTCCCGAAGCTATGAACGCTCGCGGACGGCGTCTCGTATCGATCTGTCCGCTTTCGATCGGGATCGAGAAGGGCCTCTCTCTCTCTCTCTCTCTCTTTCTCTCTCTCTTCCATGTATTATTGGACCTTCGAGAAGAAGGCGGCGTCGTGGTCCTCACAAAGGTAGAACTCGCTGGAACAATGCGATCTTCGCGGAGGAAGAACCGAAAGGTGGAGGATAAGAGATAGTAGAGACGACTCTTAGGAGAAAAGAAGAAGACCAAGAAAACGAAGAAGAAGAAGAAGACGAAGACGAAGACGAGTGCACGAAGAGATTGTGAAGAGAACGAATGAACGAAGGAGGATGGTGTAAGAGAGAAGGAAGGACAGAACCGTCGAGAAGTCTGATGAGCTACCCGCCCAGAACGTCGATGCAACGTCATTCTCGGTGACTATCCCTACGGATGTTAACTCGTCTTCTCTCTCTCTCTCTCTCTATCTTTCTCTTTATGGGGCTCGCGGATACTCTTCTTAAATGCCCTTCCTATCCATCCACCGAAACGCGCGAGTCCTTGAACAACGATCTCGAGAAAACGAATAGAACACGGCTAACACATCACCAATACATATCTAACCGATTCGAACCTAACATGTGTTTCTATATATTGAATTATACACACTATCGACTAAAAGTTTCTAATCTCTTTTTATATGTATTGTATATATAAGCCGTTTGTTTTGAAAATTGTGTAAAATCCATTTTCCACAAATAATAATCCAAGTCAGTTACCTTAACCTTTTAGGTAGGCACACCTGAATGTTGCGCTGTACGGCAAGGTTCAACGATAGAAATACGTGTAAACGATAAAACTACGATGCGTGACGAACAATGGTTGGTTCTCTACACGAATACATTTTAATAAAGTTTTTCATGATTAAATTATAATTTTTCTCATAGAAATGATACTCACACACACACACACACACATATACTTTAACTTACAAGGAGAGTTCATACAGTTTGTTATTTTAAAACGTTTATAAAACTTTGTAACATGAAAGTTTGCTGGTTGAATGAAGTGATAAAAAAGTTGATTTGGAAGGTGACGTAAGTTAAATCATAGTCATTGAAAAAAAAATAAAAAAAAAACATTATTTCTCAAATAATATTAATTATGCTAATTGGGATGATAAATTGGACACTTTTCGAAATTCATTTGTAAGAAAAAATGAATTAGATTAGATTAGGATTTATTGAAAAATACTCTCGAGTATATATACTACGTTATAAATAATGTCAATCACGAAGGAAAATTCCCCGTGTGATATTGGGAACATAATATTATAAATATTAAATGACGGAAACTACGAATTTATGGACGAATAATTATTCGTGCCATTTTTCATGAAGATAAGATAACCGATCGATACGGTTTTGAAAATATTATATACAAAAGATTATATCCGATCACGACACGTACTCTTGTATATATATACTTTCGTGCCTAATCTTTTTTGGTGCCTGCTGGACATGGCTACACCCTCATTGAACTTTCTGCCAACTTATAATCTCCTTTTCTATATTTTGTTTCTTCTTCTTCTTCTTCTTCTTCTTCTTCTTCTTCTTCTAGGACTATAAGTGCCCTTTGACAAATTATCGATCAACGGAAATATACCCCAATAATTTATCATAGAAATTTCATTTTATTTACCAATTATTATCAAAGAAGAATATTCTTATCTATCGTAAGTGTCAATCTGTTAAAAAAAAACTTGGAATATTATCCTTAGAATATCAATTTATGATTATCAATAAAGAAAAAGTAATTCGAAAAATAAGAAAAAGAGAAAACGACAGAAACAAGAGGAGAAAGGAGAAACATGAAAAAAAAAAAAAAAAAAGTACTCTTGATATTCGATGGAATGCAAGATCTGAAGATTATGAAGAGATAGGCCACCCCGAATACCAAATTCCAAAGTTGTTCGAGGCTCGACTGGTGTGTTATCTTTGTTTGATGTCTACTATGTCTACTTTCAGAATGATATAGATCTACCGACACGGATCGTTTGTTTCGTGTAATCATACTCATCGAACAACACATAATACAGATCAATAATGAACAAGTATTATTAATGAGATATCGAATCATTACTTTAAATACCTTTTCTCTTGATTTTTCTTATTTTTTTTTTTTTTTTTTGAGAAATATGCTTCGAAATCGTTTCTTTCAATCTCAACGTCAAACTATTATACTAAGTGTACTTTGCTATAGAACGTAAAATACAATTTCCAATAAGAGGACGAAAAATCAAACCGTCGTCGTGTCTCGCGTTCTCTTTTTTAAACGAATAAAAATTCGCTACTTTCGCTCGTCCATATGCGATTAGTGATAAAGAAGAAGAAGAAGAAGAAGAAAATGATGGCCGATGGGACATCAACGATCATTTTTTTTTTTCTTTCTGTTGGTTGTGTCTCTTTATTTCTTTCTTTCTCTTTCTCCATATATATATATATGTGTGTGTGTCTATAATATGCGAGAGCGTGTGAAAAGCCCCTCGGCCATCGGAGAAAGAAGAAAATATGTGGTCGCGCGCGAGAAAGCGGGAAGTCATTGGCTCAGGGAACGACGACGACGGAACAATGGTCCTTAATCGACGAATCGATAATTACGGCTTGGTTGGTTGGTTGGTTGGTTGGTACCTCCTCGACGTTGTTAAAATCGACAGGAGAAATCTCGGCACCCTTTGTGCATCGAACATTTTCGGATTGGGAAAAAAAAAAAAAAAGAAAAAGAAAAAGAAAATGTTACAAACTAACGTTAGACCTAAGGAATCACATTTAAAATTTACCTTTTGATTGGTTGCATTGATAGCTTCCAAAGCTTTAAGCTTTTCAATTTCATCTTCCGATTCTTTTTCGCAAGCTGTAGCTACTTTTTTCTTCGATGTTGTACTAGTCGGTTCTACCAAGGTAAAACCTAAATCCACGTCTTGTTTCCAAAGTACTTCGATCAGGTCCATGTCCTGGAACAGAAAAAAGAAAAAAAAACGAAGGTCAAATCAACATTCATTTACATACTAATCAAATTTCGATGGTAGATGATATCGATTAGAATTTTTCTCCTAATATATTCATTTAACAGTATATAGTACGATATAAATTAATAGGTTCCACACATGGTACGAAACGATATGTTGTTCGATACCTGCAACCTCTCCTTCTATAAAGCCCTTTTGGAGTTTCATTTTTGTTGCGCACATCTCGGATGTGTGTGTCCCCTTGCAGGGAGTCCCATCGACGAGTACGTACAAAAGTGCATGATTAATGATAGTCGAGTATCGATGCATCTAAAAGTGGTATGTGTGTGTGAGAGAGAGAGAGAGAGATAGATAGAAAAGGATAGGAGGAGGGAAGATCGAAGAAAAGGACTCGAGAGAAGGGACCAATCACATGACGAGGCACAATCGTACGGGACAGGCAGCTGGCCCCGTGACTTTTAATTGAACCAATTTCGTCAAATAACTTATCCAGCCTCGTTAACCAATCTACGAATTTTCTTCGCTAATCTAATACACGTTGCTACGTTTTCACATGTACCTTCTTTTCTCTCTCTTTATCTATTATAACTGTTCCTTTTTTGTACCGATTGATTGTCTTTTTATAACACTTTTAACTGATGTGTTTTATAAGAATGAAATAGTTTATTATATTAGTATGATTACGTTTCCGTTGATTGATATTATTCATTAGATCTATACAATAATTATATTATATTTAATAATTAAAGTTTTTATTTATTATATAATTTTTATTAATGTGATGACAAAATTCGAAACAATAATCAATAATTTTACATTTAAAGTGAAACCTTCAAAGAAAACCAAACTTCGAGACGTGAATATTTCGATATAATTGCATTGTAATACAGTGCCATCTATTGATAGAACCTTATATAAATAATTAAAATTGTGCTATGTGCTAAATTGGAAAAAATCACGTGAAATAAAATGAATTTCATTAAAAATAAGTTGAGCAGTTTTGGAATGATTAATGGACAAACATATTGTGACACTGAATTTTGTATTCATTAATTAATTAATATATAGAATTAAATTATATATATTGAATTTGATTAATTAATTAACTATTTGTTGTTTCATCGGTGGTTTCACGTTCTTTCGTTTCACGATTTTCAAATCACTCTGATTGTAAAGAAATTTTCACTTCAAAAATAATTGAAACGAACGTTTAGGTAATGGAAGGTGGTAATGTGTTTGCCATAAACACCGTTGAATTATTCCAGAGACATCACGTAAAAAAAAAAAAAAGTAACAAAAGGAAATAGAAATAGAACTGTCTTCAATACAAAGAAAGAAAGGAAATCAAAAGGCTCGTTACGATTTCTTCGGAGAAACGTTCTGTACGAAAGAATATATACATATACGTACGAAGAACAGGTAACGGGGTACTGAATAGATAATTGAACGAGGAAGCGATTAGATTTGCCGATTCCTTCACGGTGGACAGGCGTAACAACTCGATCGTGGTCTGTTTAACATCGTCGGACGTTGCGTTGCGTTGCATTGCGTTACGTTGCGTTCCCTTCCCTTCCCTTCTCCGACATTTATTTGTATTTTCTTCTCCCGCTATCTAAGAAGAAATTTCACTGTGCGAAGGGGATAATTGTACGGAAGAAGGTGGAAGAAATTGGAAAGAGAAAACGAGAGAAAACGAAAAAAAGAAAAAAAAAAGAAAGGAAGATTCAAGAAGGAAGTTTAATACTCTCTCGATGGACAAATCTGATAAATCGTAACAAATTAATTTTATGTGACAATTTCTTGCCAGAAGTATCATTATTTGAAATAAATTACAGGAAGTTGTGTTAACTTTGACAAAAAGCATTTCTTAATTCGTTTTTTTTTTTTTTTTTTTTAATTGAAAACTTCTTTAGAATAGAATATAGGAGTGATTTGAAACAAGTGAAACGTCGGCGGCAATGTAACGGAGCGGTGGGCGGCTATGTAAAGGCCACGATACTAAATAAGAAGAGAAGAAATAAAAAAACATGTGTGCAGATCACACGTGTGTGTTAGAAGTGAAATCCTTTTAAAAAAACTTCAAATTGAGAACTTGCTTTTACTGTGTAATAATGTTATGTATTATATGTCAATAAAATGTAAAGTTAATTTTTCAATGTGATAACAATATTATAATAATAATATTATAACAAATAAATCTTCTACAATTTTCTTACTGTTGATACTGTGTATTCGTCTCATTTTGTCGAAACTCAGTTTTTTCAAGGTTTCACTTCTAACACGTGTGATCTGCACACATGATATTTTTTTGTTATACATCTTATATATCTTATTTAAGTATAAATTAACAGTATGGGTATTTTATTATTATAATATAAAATAAATCGCGTGGAATGAATTTTTCTAAATATCTTTTTTTCCCCCCCCTTGTTTTCAGACATACATCCGTTGTCATAATTACTGACACAATTATCAAAAACAGATATCGTGTTTGATTAAATATCATTTTATCTATAAGATGACACCTTGAGAATCTTACCGAGATGACGGATAAGTTTCTACTTTGATCAAGCGAGCGTACCTTTTCAAAGCTGTTTTCGGCGAGCGTGTAATTCGACGAGCGAGGAAAGAAATGGAGAAGGTGGGAGGTAGAGAGCGAGTTAGGGTGAAAGAAAAAGAAGCAAAAGAAGAAGAAGAAGAAGAAGAAGAAGAAGTAGAAAAAAAACAGAAAGAAAAAGAAAACGAAGAAGAAGAAGAAGAAGAAGAAGAGACCGTGGCGTGGGTGTGCGTACGAAGTCGGCCATGTTGGGAAGACACAGCGGGATATCCGCCGCGCCCACAGTTATCTTCCTTCTCTTTCTTCCTCCACCTCCCTCACCCCATCCCAACCCCATACTCGAGACCCCTCTTTTTCTCTTTTCTTATTCTCCCTTCGCTTCTCCTTCGCGTTTTACTTCACCTATCAATTCCCCACACCCCTTCTTTACGCGCATACACACTAATACACGTATTCCCCCTTTGCCCCCCCCTTCCCCCCAATTTGATTAGAACCATACGATTTTCATAATAAAAACATGAAACCTTTCAATCCTAATCGACTGAATAATCACGATGGAAAAGTGTAATTTTCGATCAGGGGGATATTGTAACGTGTTAATCATGAAAAGAAAAGAAAAGAAAAGAATAAAAAAAAAAAAAGTAGACAATAGTTACACGTTCGTGCATCGGTGTCGATGGCATGTAAAAAAAGAAAGAGAAAGAGAAAGAGAAAGAGAGAGAGATAGAAAAAGAGACAAAGAGGCGTCGTTAACGGGCGGCACGAAAAGAAAAGGCGCGGAAGAAGAAGGTGTATCTGTGGATCAGCAATTACACGCGGTTGTCTGGTAATGGCCGACGAGTGTTTATCTAAAATCTCTCGTCCCTTCTTATTCGTCGGGATTGTATTGGACGTGTCGTTCGTTTCTCTGTCCCGTCGTCATTTATACTACACGCTCGAGATTCGATATGCCGATCTCTTTGCTGTACGCACTCTCTCTCTCTGTCTCTCTCTCTCATTTTTATCGTTAACCACTTCTTATCTTTCGACAAAATTTGCTTGGATTGTTTCTTTCGGTCGATATACAAATGCTGCTGCTGATGCTGCACCAGTGTTAACAGAACAAGATAGAGAAAGAGAGAGAGAGAGAGAAATATATATAATGAGAAAGAAGGATGAGCATAGCTTCTGACTTCATGCTATCACTGACACTTTGAATGACTTAGCGATTTGGTTATTCTGGTAGTTCCCGAGAGAGTAGAGTGTTCGTGTGTGCTTGCTTTTAAACGAATATAAACTTAGTGGCATGGAAACGGCATTCTTTCTATATACGAGATTAAACGAGATTTAAGTTTGACCAACGAATTACGCCATTTATTTATTAATTCAACTGTACATTTGAAAATAGAAAAAATGAAAAGAGATTGCAAAAAGGAGAGAAAAAAACATACACACATACACATACAAAAATAATCTAACTCTTAAAAAAGTATTCGTATAATATAATAAAATATTTCACATTAGTGATAAATGATCGTGTTAGGTGTCAATAGAATTCAATGTAAAACTTCTATTTCCTTGGGATATTTATTTTTATAATACATGGTGTTTTCATACGTTCGAAATAATAATGGTATAAAGTATGTATGTATGTATGTTCCCCCCTTGCCAACAAACGCGCGCACTATTATTACAAATCCGGAATTGAAAACGCGGAACGAGAGTAGGTATATAGGAATGCATCATGTGGACGATTTAAAAATATGTGAGTGTGTGTGTACCCCGAACGAAAGAAAGTTTGACGAAAAGTCATCGTCATTTCGCATTAAGCCAAACGTTTTTTTTTTTATATTTTTTTTGTTGCATTTTCTCCCAAGTTAATCGCGAGACGATCTCCTTCGTAGAATCTTTCCATTCCCCCTCCCCTCCCCCTCCTCTTTATTTTTCTTTCTATCTCTCTTTGTCGGTGCAAAAAGTGTCGCGAGTAAATCGCTTTAATGAGGGACGATAGAAGGAGGAGGAGGAGGAGGAGGAGGAGGAGGACTTTGTGCACAGGCCTTTCTATTCCTTCACGCTGACTTCCTTTCAGGGACGACGATTGGAACGTTTGCGAGATGTACGGCGCCATGCATTAAGCTTCCTCTTACAGCAAATGTCCTTCTATATTTCTTTCTTTCTTTCTTTCTTTCTTTCTTCCTTTCTTGCTTTCTTTCTTTCTTTCTTTCTCTCTTTATCTCTCCTTTTGCATTTTTTGTTTTATTTACATCGTACAATCGAGTGCACTCGTTTTCCATCGATTTGCATCCGATCGACCGTCTCCTTCGAAACGAATCGAATTTTACTCTCCCCCCCCCACCCCCAATCCCTCTTCATCATCCTTCTCTTCTTCTTCCTCTTCTTCTTCTTCTTCTTCTTTTATTTATGTTCCTTTTTTTTTTTTTATTCCCCA